GCATGCTTAGTGTGAGGGATTGTATTTGAGTCAATGAGTCGATGCAATCAACTGGTTTTCCTTAGATAGAAAACTGAATTAATTTGACTGCGTGATCTGGTTGAACTGTAAAGTGCCTTGAGATGACATGTGTTGTGAATTTGGCGCTATATAAATAAACTGAATTGAAAATTGAATTGAATTAATGTTACAGTAATAAAAGTAGTAAAAATTATATTGTATAATATAAACGATAGTGTACATCATGCATGCATCTATTTTTTGTTTATATTGTTTCATTTAATTTTACTTTATTCTTCAAATCATCTGTTTATTATTAGACATTAGATATTATTATCATTTTGCATTTGCATTTTGCAGCCATATGGTATGACGTTCTCTGCAAAATCCAGCATGTTAGTAAACTGATGCAGTCACCCTCCATGCAGCTTGACGTAGCTGTCAACTTGCTGAGGAAAACCAGAGATTCCCTCACCAGTTACAAAAACACTGGATTTTCTGATGCACAGACAATAGCAAAGGGGATCTGTGAAGACATGAATGTGGAGGCTGAACTAACAAAAAAGCAATTAAGAACCACAAAAACTCACTTTGGCTATGAGTGTCCAGATGAGCCCATTCAAGATGCACAACAAAAAATGGAAACCACATTTTTTTATGTAGTCATGAATACTGCCATTTCTTCACTTAATGAGAGATTTCAGAATCTGAATAACATGTTTGGTGTGCTCCTCAATTTCCCCAACTTAGAAGAAAAAGAGCTGCTACTGAAGTGTTAAACCCAAAGTACTGCTCTGACCCAGGACAGCCAGCAGGACATTGATGGAGCAGAACAAGGGAAATGCAACATTTCCCACCATTGCCATCAATGAACATGACAAACTTGGAACTTTTAGCCTTCCTGCATGAGAAGAATCTAGCAGAAATTTACCTCAACATGTGGGTTGCTCTAAGAATCTCTGCCACTCTTCCTGTTACAGTGGCTTCTGCTGAAAGAAGCTTCTCCAAGCTTAAACTGATTAAAACTTACCTGAGATCTACTATGATGCAAGAACATCTCAGTGGACTTTCCATCATAAGCATTAATCATGTGGTCTCAAATCAGCTGTCATATGATGATGTTGTAGATGACTTTGCTTGAAGAAAATCCAGGAGAGTAAAGCTGTAGTCATGTGAGAGTATATAGTTTTTGAAGTAATTCAAGTTAAGGGAGACTATAAACACCACTAGAACTATCATGTTATTTTTTTTTTTCTTTATTTAAATCATTGTATTTTTTGTGCCTACTCATTTCTTTGATTTCTTACTTTGCACAGTGCCATATTTATATTGCATTTAATGTCACTTGTTTACACTTTTTTGGGAGTATTTAAATGTAATACTTTATATAAGCCATTTATATTGCATTTGAATTAAAGTCACTTGTTTACACTTTTTTTGGGAGTATTTAAATGTAATACTTTATATAAGTTATTTATATTGTATTTCATATGTTCATTTTTTGTTTTTCTTTAATTATTTTTAAGTTTTTTTTTCAATGTGAAAATTGTTTTATGTAAATAAAAAAAATGTCCAAGACAAAGCTTTTTAGTTTCTTGTGAGTATATTTACACTAGCAGACATGCAAGTACTGCACAGTGATGCAAGGGGGCGCCACCTAAAATCTTGCCTAGGGCACCAAATTGTTTAGGGCCGGGCCTGATGGAACCCCAGGAAGATAATGAGGTTACTTGCTATAGAGTTTCAGTTGAAACTTAAATGGTTAACTTTTTTTTAATGCATTATGTATGTTTTTTTGTTATTATTTTGTCATACACAGAATCATATTTAGTGTTCAAAAACATAGGAGGACTTAATCTTCTGTTAAAGTGTGATTTTGATTTGAACAAATTGGCAGTGAAGCTTTCAGACTTCCAGAAACAGGTTCCTCTTTAATGGAAACTAAACTTTAAACATCATTTTACACAACATAATACCCAGTGTGGAATAATACACTCACTGGCCACTTTATTAGGTACCCCATGCTATTAACGGGTTGGACCCCCTTTTGCCTTCAGAACTGCCTCAATTCTTTGTGGCATAGATTCAACAAGGTGCTGGAAGCATTCCTCAGGGAGTTTGGTCCATATTGACATGATGGCATCACACAGTTGCCGCAGATTTGTCGGATGCACATCCATGAGGCGAATCTCCCGTTCCCCCACAGCCCAAAGATG